GGGGCGCTCGGGGCTTTATCCCCTCCCCCAGGGTGTGCGGTGCCCTCCCCAGGCTCTCACCTGATTCTCACCCCACTCGCCCCATTCAGGCCGTTTTCTTCAGCTGTCACCTGTCCATCGTAGCCCCCCGCCTCTGTCTGGGTGCTTCCCCCTGTCCTTATCCCTAAAATTACTGGGGATCTGGTGTATGTGACCCCTTGGGGGACCCCTGGGTGCTTTCCCCTGTCATTAATTATCACCGCACCCCCTCGGCTTCAGTCCCACCCCCACCCTGGATCCTTTCCCATTCATCTCCAGCCCAGCCTGGGATCCTCCCCCTCCGCCCCTCAGCATTACCCGGGGGTCTGGTGCGTGTGACCCCCCCCCTCCCGGGGGACCCCTGCCTCATTTCCCCATCATTAACTCTCACAGCGCCCCGCAGCTCCAATCCCATCCCCACCCTGGATCCTTCCCCCCATCCCTAACTGGACCCCCGGGTGGGGGTTTTTATATTATTTATATATATATATTTTATAACGGCTCCTCGTGTTTGGATATACCCCGTCCCCGATCCCCGCCGCTCCCAGGGGGCCCCAGGAAATGCGGTTGTTTTGCGGAGGGAGGGCGTGGGGAGACTCGGACAATAAAACGCCGACGGGCATTTATTGCCTTTCATTTCTTTTTTAAATTATTACCTTATTTTTTTCCATTCACGCATCCCTTCCCCCTTCCCCCCCGTACCCCAAGCTTAACGTGGCTGCAGGTCCGTGCAGGGTGGAGGCAGCCTTGCTTATCCCCCCCCTCTCCATCCCCATTCCCGCTCCGCCTTTGCAGCCTTCGGCTCCATCCAGCCCTGACTGCAGCAGGAGGGGGATGGGAGGCTGGCGAGCCTGTCAAATTTCCCTTATTCCCCCCTCCAAAAAAAATCCCCTTTCCTGCGATGTGGCTGCATCCCGGTGATCCCTGAGGAGAGCTGACAGCTGATGGGGGTGCGGCGGAGGGAGGGGGACGAGCCCTGCTGGGGCTTTGTCCTATTGTGGAGGATGCAGCCCGCGCCGCAGGCAGCCCTGGGGAAAAAAAACATGGCAGTGCCGCTGCCCGCGAGGTTTGCAGGGGGATTTCTGCCCGTTCCTGCATCCCTGGGGGCCGGGAGATGCCACGGGAGGGCGGATTGCAGGTTCCAAATGCGAGGCATTGTTTGGAGAAGAGGGGAAGAAAATCCAATATGGTGGAAAGGTTTTCCTCCTTGTGCAAGTGGCCTTTCCTGCTTTTGTTCCCTCCTGTTGGTGGGGAGAGGTGGCTGGACAAAGGGATCTCTTTGGGGTTGGCCCAGTGGGGTTCCCCCACTTCCCCTGGGATGGGGATTAAATTGGAATCCAGGCGTGGTTTGGGTGCTGTGATTGATGGGGCTGCTGACACAGGAGCCCAGGGAAGGCACAGCTGGGTTATCATCCCCTCTGTCCCCCTCTTTTGGGTTTGGGGAGAGGGCTGACACAGCTGGAGTGTGGCACAAGGGAAGGTGTAAGGAAAGGTGTAAGGTGTACCTGGGATGTGGCACAAAGGAAAGGTGTAAGGAAAGGTGTAAGGTGTACCTGGGATGTGGCACAAGGAAAGGTGTAAGGTGTACCTGGGATGTGGCACAAGGAAAGGTGTAAGGAAGGGTGTAAGGTGTACCCTGAATGTGGCACAAAGGAAAGGTGTAAGGTGTACCTGGGATGTGGCACAAGGGAAGGTGTAAGGAAAGGTGTAAGGTGTACCTGGGATGTGGCACAAGGAAAGGTGTAAGGGAAGGTGTAAGGAAAGGTGTAAGGTGTACCTGGAGTGTGGCACAAGGAAAGGTGTAAGGTGTACCCTGAATGTGGCACAAGGGAAAGGTGTAAGGAAAGGTGTAAGGTGTACCTGGAGTGTGGCACAAGGGAAGGTGTAAGGTGTGTGTCCATCTGCTCCAGGGGACACCCAACTGTCCCAGGTGCTTTCATTCCTTTCCAGGCTCTTCCTTT